CCCTGGCAGTCACTTCATTGTATGCTTCAGTCTTTCAAATAACTTGATTCTAGTAACCTGTAAAGCCAACTTTTCTGTGCATTTATATATGCCATCATACACTGTACATCAATGCTTTACCCTTCTTCAGAGAAGAGATAACAGTATTTCCTTGACAGCCTTCCACATTGTCCTAGACGCAAGCTAAGGCTGGCATCCCCGAAGCCACAAGGAAATGATTATCCCCGAGAGGTTAATAAACCCTGAAAGAGACAGATCTAGAGGTGTTGTTATGGGGGTTTTTTGGTGGGTGTTTTTTTTTTTTCCTGTACAACTGCCAATAACTTAGTCATAGAAGATTAAACAACAATTAAAGTTTTCCTTTAGCTTCATAAATAAAACACTCATTTTTCTACATAGGTCTTACATTCTGTATGCTGCAACTTCTCTTTAGGATACAACCCAGCAGGACTGGGAAAAAAGGGCATCTCAATGCTTTCTACCCAGGATGTAATTTCTGGTATAAGAATGCAGTTTATTTATTGTACCATTTGTTCAAGCATCACTTCATCTTTGTGACTAGGACAGCATCAAGCTTCAGGTAAAAGCTTCAAAGCTGAAGCCTACCTGGAAAGAAGCAATAGAATACCTCTGATATTCTGAGGGTTCACAATAGCCTTGTGAATCAGGTTAAAATGCCATAAAAGGACAACTGATATACTCACTACTTCCACAAAATCTACAGAATTTATTGCCTATTCCCAAGACTAAAGACAGAGTTAAAGCTAACTCTATTCCATGATTGCTGCACTTATAGCAGCAGTTTGGTATTTTAGGCTACATCTATGCCACGACCTTTTCAGCAGCCATGAATAATATATTCCAAACCAAATGCTTGTACAAAGACTTCTGTATGCTCCAGAACACACAACCATTATAGGCTTATACTCCCTAACTCAGCACATGCCTTGAAATGTACATCACTTTATGCAAAGACTAGATATACTGACAGAGAAGGAGGCAAATGAAGACTACTAAATAAAACCCCCACCCTGTCTGGCTCAAGAAGATCCAATAACAGAAGGTGCTGGGCACTGGGAGCATACAGGGAAACATCCCTGTCTCCTAGCTTTCTGCACTTTACTAAAATCTTCCCTTGGCTTCTGCTTTGGTCACTGCTGGAGACAGGACACTAGACTATATGAATCCTTGTTCTGATTAAATACTATTAAGTATTCTTAAGTATCTGCATTTGCACATCTGCCGTGTAGCTGTTACTCAGTTTTATATATTGTATATATGAAATTAGAAACATTTAAATCTGAAATAAAAAAGGCAAGCCCTTTTACGAGCTATCAAAAGATCATAAAGATTCCTTCTTGGACAAATACCTTTCACGTAATGAATCTGCTGCCTTGAAGAATTTCTGCAATTTTGATCTTTCATCTAAACATCAAATATTATCCACACATATATATGTGTGTGCAGTTCTACTTGGAAAGCTGGATGCTCTCCTGTGCAACAGATCTTCCTCTGTGAGCCAGACTCTGCAATTCATGAGGTAACTTGAACATATTTTAAAACTGAAACGTCATTCTTCATTTTGTATCAGCTCTTCAGAAAATTAAACACCTCTCTTTGGTCAATACATTTGGTTATGTCACAAACTGCCCAAACATCTTACATGAAAATCCTACCATGTTCATTTATGCTGGTATTTTAAAATTAACTCTTGTAAAATGCAACCTTTAAAATTAAATGCATATTTATCTAAAGGCATCTGCACTCCATGATTTAGCTCCATTCACATTGGAAAACACTTACAGTATATCAATACTACAAGAAAAATACAGGAACTATCACCTTCATTTGCCACAACCACCAGAATCTGAAAAACACACTCTATTTTAGAATTTGGCATCTCTCATCATCCTGCAGTATGATTGGTGATTAATCCCCAGCAATTTTTTTTTTATAAATTAAGAGAAAGCAATCCCTGTGCTTCCACACTGTATTCTTCCAATATATAAAAAAGAAAAAGGAAGAATCAGAGATTTTGATCAGTTTTGCTTGGAAAACTAGTTAAACCCCTCCTATTTGGCTTTATTATAGACACACATCAGAACAATTGTGGACAGTGGGAAACTGAGCAGTAAATTCTTACCAAGAGGAAGGGAGACACAACAGAAGAGAATAGGCTTGCAGCTGTCAAGAGAAAAATGTTCCATGGTAGCAACAGTGAATAGGGAAATAGAAATGGTAAGGCACTTAAGCCAACAAATTTAAAACTCAAATAATACCAAATTTATTACAGAATAAATAACGTTATTTCTCACCTCACCCAACAGGGGCAAAGCAGGACCCTGATTTGGTTTTGGGTTTTTTTTTTTTTTTTTGTTTTTTGTTTTTTTTTTTTTTTTAGTTTTAAAAAGCTTTCAGGAATAGTGGGAGACAAGGGCTCAGTACTGGGGCCAGTTCTGTTTAATATCTTTACCAATGACCTGGATGAGGGGATCGAGTGCACCCTCAGTAAGTTTGCAGATGACACCAAGTTGGGTGGGAGTGTCGACCGGTTTGAGGGTAGGAAGGCTCTACAGAGGGATCTGAACAGGCTGGATCAATGGGCCGAGGCCAAAGGCATGAGGTTCAACAAGGCCAAGTACCGGGTCCTGCACTTGGGTCACAACAACCCCATGCAGCGCTACAGGCTTGGGGTGCAGTGGCTGGAAAGCTGCCCAGAGGAAAAGGACCTGGGGGTGTTGAATATGAGCCAGCAGTGTGCCCAGGTGGCCAAGAAGGCCAACAGCAACCTGGCATGTATCAGGAATAGTGTGGCCAGCAGGACTAGCGAACTGACCGTCCCTCTGTACTCAGCGCTGGTGAGGCCATACTTCGAATACTGTGTTCAGTTTTGGGCCCCTCACTACCAGAAAGAAACTGAGGTGCTGGAGTGTGTCCAGCGAAGGGCAGCAAAGCCGGTGAGGGGTGTAGAGCACAAGACTATGAGGAGCAGCTGAGGGAACTGGGGTTGTTTAGCCTGGAGAAAAGGAGGCTGAGGGGAGACCTTATCACTCTCTACAACCACCTGAAAGGAGGTTGTGGTGAGGTGGGGGTCAGTCTCTTCTCCTAAGTAACAAGTGACAGGACTAGAGGAAATGGCCTCCAGTTGCACCAGGGGAGGTTTAGAGTGGATAGTAGGAAAAGTATCTTCACTAAAAGGGTTGTCAAGCATTGGAACAGGCTGCGCAGGGAAGTGGTTAGAGGGATCCCTGGAAGTATTTAAAAGACATGTAGATGTAGTGCTGAGGGTGGTGGACTTGGCAGTGTTAGTTTCGCAGTTGGACTTGATGATCTTAAAAGGTCTTTTCCAACCTAGATGATTCTAAGATGTCCCAAGTAAACAAGCATGTGAGCTCAGGACTATTTTTTGATGTGCAACACTAGGCAGAGAAGCTATCCAAACCGTGATAAGATTGAGAACAGGCACATGATAATAGTTTAAATAAGCTTGTGTCCTGTCATTTCTCTGAAAGGTGTTAAAAATAAAACAAAACACCACCTAGAAAACAGAGCTTCACATTTTACTAGGATAGCATATCATTCAGCTATTGCCTCCTTAAATTCTTTATATGCCTCAGAGGAACAAGTGCTCTTTCAGCAGCTCTCTGAATGCTTAGCTAAAGGTTAAACCATTTTGGACGGACAAGTAACTCTCTAGCTGGTAAGTGACCAGCTGCTTATTTACATACATAAGCTAAGGAAATTGCCAGCACTAGAACTCAAATGCCCTTTTGCTGCTTTTAAGTCTTCTGCATCAAGAACTTGTGTTGGAAACAGTTAATCCTTTCAACAATTCAGTCTAGGACAAAAAGATGATTCTTTCTCTGTTGTGTGCCAGTATGAAAGTTTAGGGCCAGTGTTCTTTAAGACTATTAATCCACTTGTACCAGGAACAGAGCAGTGATAATCAGATCAATTTATGACACTAAATGCTGCATTCATTAGGCAGAAATAATAACGTAACAGTTTAAGTACGTATTGGGCTACAATGGACAATCAAGGAGAACGCCAACACTTCAACAACTGGAACACTTTCTTAATAAAGCAGAACTTAACTTTGTGGAGTCATAATTAGCTAGCTGTCCAAACAAAACAATGAATTTAATATGATAAAATATTTGGCATGCAATTCTTATATATGATTCTTTCAAATATGATTTCAAGGAGAAGCCTTCTAACTTCACTTTGCATTAGTAAGACAAGATTATTACATCCTTATCAATTAGCATTATTGAACTTTTTTTTTCTCTCAAATAAGCCACACAAATAAGTCTGATGACAACAGAAGTTATTTCAATTTCCTTACAGTTGCACAGATCTGCCAGCTTGCCAAAGCAGCACCATTAATAAAACCCCATGCATACAATACTTGGCTGACAACACTTCATAATTTATAAAAGGCTGACTCACACAGAATGATAGATTTTTAACAAGTGAGACAAGTGAACCAGTCATCATCCATAGTCACCTTTCCCCACCTTTCCCCACACGACAGAGGTCACCATCTCCAGAGCAGGACAGCAAAGCAAGTCTTACTACAATTTTCAGGCAGATCATTAAAATAAACGGAAAACAATTTTCATATGAAACAAAATATAAGAATAGAATCTAGCAAAATTTTACAAGTTCCTGTGCAAACTCTCTTCAGTATAGTGAAACATGAGGAAAGCCACTAGAAGGAATAAATTTGAGCGTGTGAGTTTTGAGACAACATAAAATAATTCACAATATCCATTTTCAGTAATGAATCTCAAAGTACGAACCAATTAATGTGAGAGATACAATTAAATATCACAACCAGACCATAAAAGAACATCTCTTATGTTAAGCAGTGGTTTAGAGTAGCGATTTAAAATTTAAAGCTGTGTAGCTTCCAGAAATTATACTTTCACTAGTGTCTTTGTACAGTCAACAGTGATCTGCCTTTTATCTACCCCAATATAATAAGTGAAGTGACTTACCATTCTTGCTGACATCCAGTTCCCTGAGATTAATGAGATTTGCAATGGATGCTGGCAATGTGGTTAGATCATTGTCTGGTAAACTCAGCTTGTGCAGAGACTGACAGTTAAAAAGTTGCTATTGAAACAGAGAAAAAAGTGAATGCAACTTTCTCTTAGTTTCCTCTATATAGCTTTTGGTTTTAATCCCTTTAAACTTCTGACCTCACAGCTTGAAGGCCAGACTATTTAGTCTTTGACTACAAAAAATTTATTTAACTAGTTTTATTCAAATTTGACTAAGTTTACAATGCTTAGGAAAGCAAAAAACTGCAAATGGCCACAACCCAGCAGCTATGCTTAACACTTCCTACAAATTCCTTCCCGTATCTCAGAAACTGTGACCTGTAGTTACACATAGTCCTGCAAACATCGCAAAATATTTTCCACAATAGATATGCCACATGACACCCCAGAGGTAATTAGAGTTTCTTCAAAAAAGAAAAAAAAAATTGATAGATGCACTTCCTGAAGTCAAATTCTTCTGGAACACAGGATTTAAGTAGGTATTGATCTTCTTTAAAAGTTTATATTTTATTCCGTTACATCGTATAACATTTTTTTCCCCTTCCATGCTTCCTAGCTCAAGTACACAAAAATTCAACAAAATTATCATGAAAACTAGCGAAAGTTTGATCTAAGCATACAGAAAACTGTATAATCTCTTCTGTATACATGCATTATAATTTGTATCAAATATTTGGTCAGAGCCAGACCTCTTCCTATATGCAAGGTACCTTGAGATTCTTACCCAAAATCTTTACAAATTGACAAAACAGGGCACATAATACTAGTGTAATGGAAGTAAAATCCTCAAATTATATGTAGGAAGCCTACAGATACTACGAAAAATATATCTGTAGGAAAGTTGTTTAAAAGGTTCATCTGAATAATTTATGATGAATTCTCCTTTTCCAACAATTTTGGGTAAGATCATTCATTAATACCTGGACTTAGTGCTCTTTTCTTTTGGAATTCTGAGAAAAGATCATACAAAATCAAGAAGTGTTCTACAACTTAAAAAAATTATCCCAATCAACTAAGCAATGGGCTTAGTCCAACCAAAATTCCTTGAGTCTCTCTCAATTACGAGGCCATTATTTCAACCACATACTGTGGAACAAGGCCTATTCATGTAATGTTTGCATATACCACCCAAGAACAGAAGCAAATATAGATTAGCAAGATGGACAGTTCAAGGAATGAGCTTTAGCTTGCCTACTGATGTTTCCAATTCCTCAGAAACATACACCTGTTAGAACTAGTTGATACCATTAAGGCTTTGAATAGTTACAAGTTACTTAGGATATTATATGGAAAGGAAAGCCATTTCTTCAAGACACTTCATGCAAGAACATATACTTAAAACTCATCCCTGAAAACAATCTGGACTCTTGGAATCATCAGAAACTTCCCTGATGAGTCAGGTTAAAGCAAATGCATCACAAGGAATTGCAATATCCATAAAGGAAAATGGGAGGGAGGGAAGTTTCGTGTGGCATTAGCTTTGTAGTTGTTCCTTTTGTTGTTCTTTTTTAATGTTTGCATATTCACTGATTAAGTAGATCATCATTACTGGTAAACACCAGAAGCCATATAATTAAGAACTATTTTACTGCAGAATTTCAATTTCTTCCAAAGAGCAGAGTGAGAGGGAAAACTGAAGCTGCCACAGTTTGAGCTTTTCAGATCAAATGCACACTGTGGCACTTGGGATAAACGGAGTACCTTTTCAGATGTGATTTAGCACACAAGATAAAAGCATTTCAAATGCCCGGTTGCTTTTGAAACTGAGACTACACACCAGTGCTTCATGTAAAGCAAAGTCCTTCTTTACCACCACCTTTCTCTCCACCACAGTTTGCTCGTGCTGCAACCCTCAGCCAGTCAAGTAAATTAAGGAACTATACTGTAAGAACCAATTTTTGAAGTATGCTGGAGTTCTGAAAAGATTTGGAGTAATTGAAAAAGAAAAAAAAAGGAAAAAAGCCACACACATTGACAGGCCATTTCAGTGATAAAGGTGACAAGGCAGCCCCAAACCAGTTGTGTTGTGGCATACAAAGGGCAGCAGATTGCAAAACAGGGGTAAGAACACACCACTGGGGGCAAAGACTAAAGGGGAAGAGTGGGAATGTCTTAACCAGCTTCAGAAAGCCTGGAAACAGCTGGAGACACACCATTCGTCTGAGATGGCTTAATTAGAAGCCTTTTTAAGAGCTGAAAGACTAAATAAAAGCTTGGGTTAGGGAAAAGGCACACGCAGCTTGAAACTGGGTTCAAATCAGCTAGGATCATTTCACCTTACAGGCCTTCCCTTACAAGTCTTCTATGGATAGTTTTAAGATTACAGTTTCTGTCAAATAATTAAATAAACCACTTTTACTATGTGTTTACTACTCCCTAATTTCTTTGCTTGTTTCCTTTATAGTATTTTAATTTATACGTGGGGTTTTTTTCTTTTGAAAATTGAAAGGTTAGTAAAAAAAAATTCCCAAAATTACTTAAAAGTTACTTAAAAGCTGAAAAAAAATGCTTAGCATCTCAAAAATAAGTCTATAAGGATGACTTATTATAATGTACAAACACATTAACATGAAGCAAGTGTTGCCTGTTACAGGTCTGTGCTGTCCAGCACAGAAAAGTAAAAAGGAACAAAAGGTCTACATTCAAGCAGTCTTTCTAATTTAATCTTGGACTAGACCAACGCAAGTGGTAGACTGCCTACCTCGCAGTTTACCTCACACATCAAAACTGGATTTCATATAGGAATTGACTAATGAAATCAAATGGCATGTAACAGGAAAGGAAGATAAAGCACACTAACTGCTTATTCTGGTCTAAAACGCCAACATGCATTCATTTGATCACTACAGTACAGTCTGTCTTCCTCTTTTAAGATTACTAAAAGGAATTATTTAGAGAATTATGAATTTGGAAGAAAGATGTTTGCTTAGTTCTTATGATTTGGGAAACAGGACGTCAATGCAAGAAGAGTTCAGAAAATTTCCTTTCTTTTTGGCCAAGAAAGGTATTTTATTCTGTTTCGGCACTCAAATTTTATTCTTCTCCAATAAAGAATGAGAGACAGGAATAGAGTTCTGAAATCATCTGAATAAAACTCAAAGGCTGATATGAAGTCTTTAAAAGCAGGCTACTGAAACCTAAAGTGACTAAGTCTAGAGTAAAGAATTATACGCTTGGGAAGATACAAGAATAAAATAATGGAATTTCTTAACTATAACAGACTTGGACAAAATGTCTAGTTTTAACTGATATGTTACTAGCTCTGTTCAACATATAAATACAGATTTTCATTGATGGCTTCTCAGGAGCATTTAAGGTTGGATTTTCAAAAGCACTCAGTTGGTTTAAGTCAGCTCTGCCAGAATCCAAGGCTTCTGATAACTGTCAAGTTACTATCCTAAAATTGTTTTACTTCCTTATTTGTTTCACTTTTCTTTCAAAAAATCCAAACTAGCAAAGCCTGACAGGGCTGTACTTTGAAAAGCATACTTTTCAAAAAAATCTAACAAAGCATTCTCTAGTTGTCTCGCATGTCAGTGAAAATTTGTACATAATTGTGACAAAACTATTTTAAAAATTAAGTATTTAATCTAACTACTAAGTTTTTAATTCCACCAAGACAGGAAACAAGTCTATTGCAGTGATCACTTCACACTTCTCAAAAGTCTCACTGGCACAAATTTTCATTCTTTTCTCTAGTATACTGTTAATTCAGCGTGCAGTTTTGTCTTCAGATTTCAGAACAAACAACAAATATTAATTTTAATAATAAAGACATAATCAAAGTGGTATTCTGTCCCTCTAGTTTTTGAACTTCAGTAATTTGAGATACTTCAGAAGGCCTCTTCAGTCATGTACCAAAGAAGAAAGCAAGACTTCATGTGAATAGATACTTTGGATTGTAGCTACACATCTTCATGTGTTATCAGAGATCCAAAATAATGCCTCAATTTTTTTGAATACAGTTAGTCAGTTTGGGCAGACATTGCCACAGAAATAAAGTAGCCTGCCTCTTCCTCTATCTACCTCTCTTTGGCTGGATCAGTTGCATAAGCATTTTTATCCCAATTCATGCAGCAAACTAGTCAAGCTGGAATGCATAAACATTCCTTCCACTAGGGCTGCTTATTCTGAAACCACCATTTGCTTTAAAATATTTAGCTAACAGCAGCTTAAGAGCTAAAGTGGAATGCTAGATGCTACCAGCTCCTACCATGAAGTAACAGAGTTAATAAGCAGAACTAAAAGGAAAACCACCCAACATACCTTTGGAAGCTCTTCAATCTGATTAGCATCTAAATAGAGTTCTTCCAAGGTCTTTTCAAAAGTAAAAATCTCCTTAGGCACCTGTTCCAGGCTGCAGTGAGAATAATCAAGCGTAGTGACTGTTTCTTCCTCTCCACGCAGACAGCGGCATGGCACCAGCCGCACAAACAAATTCCGCTTAGTTGTCATTTTCAGGCACTGTAAAACAGAAATTGGTCAATTTAAAAGCGAAGACAACTTCAGAAATACTTACATGGGCAGCTTCTCAAACTTCCCTTGGCTGCTAAATACTTAAAAAAAAGAAAGATGTGTGTACATACGTGCATATGTATGTGTGTATACACATATGAGAGAGGGGACAGGGAGAATTTATTTATTTTTACTTCTTTTAAACACAACAGATGTGTAAGGGCATTAGATGTGGTTATAACACCTACAGACCTCAGAAGATGAAGTAAAAATTTAGCCTGTAACTTGTCACCTGCTAACACAGCCCTATATTGCAGAGAAGTAAAGAATTTTGAAGTAGCGGTTCTGAATTGTCAATTGTTTTTACAACATAGCTTATCCCTGCCTTTACAAAGGTTACTGGGATAATATTTTTGCTTAATACAGTAAAATCCACCTCTACAGAGCATTAAAATGTGGCCATAGGAAAGCTTTTTTTTTTTCCTGCTATGAGTAAGATGAAATTTATGTATCTTCATTTCAAATTCCTCATTTGAAGACATAATGCAACAAAAAGAACCAGTGTGGCGCCTACCAACTGTTTTACCTAAAGTTTAAAAATAAATGTTTCCAAGTGCACAGATAAAGAAGTGACTTCTTTTTGCAACTCCATGCAGTTTGGAAAATTCAACACATCTTGCTGTGCACACTGGAACTAAGGAAATTTCACCTTGCTATGGAAATGTATCTTTCTTCCTTTAAACTCCATCACAGCTACAACAGTCCCCTCTCCTCTCTGTGGCTCGTATGATATTCCTACTTGGCAGGAGACAGCAGACCTAAATGGTGCAAACTGACTAGCTGATTACTGACAGCATACACCAGCCATATTCTGCCTCTTTCCTCCTCAGAAGAGCACAAGTTTAGGTCTTTTTCCTCTAATTAGCAACCAATTTTCACAAAATTCAGAAACAATAATCTTCAAAACATCACCTCAAGTTTCAAGTTTGGCTGAAATCAGATGACAGACTCAACAATTTTTCAGGAAAGACCAACACGTGCAGACGGACAACACGATCATGTAAGCATTATTTCCTCAGGAAATTGATCTAAAAATATATACTTTTCCAAAACAGCACTAAGTACTTATTTTCTCAATCAAACTTCCAATGCTCCACATTAAAATATGCTTTTTTAAATCTCCATATTTTTTTTGAATTGCAGAAATTATACTTCAACTTCTGGATTGGTGACAGGAAACTTTCTTCTCCAAGTGCCAAAAAAGTATTTCGGATACATTTAGCAGACTGCACTTCAGCTTTCAGACAGCATGTTAGTAATACAAGGAGAAAATAAAATACCACAGCCACTGTGCTTTATGAAGTCACAGGCTGCAAGACCCCCTTCATACTAAGACAAGAAAAAAAGTAATGCACTTGGATTTTCCTCTTTGAGCAGCTAGCTTGCCAAGTACTTCACGGTATATTTAATTTATATGACAACAGATTGAGGGGCTGCTGTACTTTAGTGTTTTTAGTTTTTCACTAAACTGAAGTACAACTTATCACTCAGGCTGGATAAAGTCAAACTCTACACTCATCCATTAAAAAGGTGGAAGAAAACTGTTAATTAGGAAGTGGGATGTCAAGAATTCCTTTTTTAACAATGCTTCGATGTTGCTAGGATTTTGGTACAATGTTGATTATCAGAATAATTAATACTTCCCATAAAATTCCAGCCATGTTATTTACATAAAATGTGATCTAAAAATAAAAATATTTAACTGTATTGCAATGCAAAGAGTGTAGAGGCTGCAAATTCTACACTAGGGATTTCCACAGAATGGGAAAGCCAGCAGAATAGACAGTGTAACCTCCTTTGTTTCTTCCATAGGAAGAGGCTCCAGCATGGCATCCTCCGGCCATCCACAGCCAGCCAAGGATGCTACTGAAGCTGATGTGCTCACTGGGTCAGAGCTACCCAACCCTTCTCCAAGCCTCAGAGATGGCATGTGAAGACACAAGAGGAATTCCATGGCCAACATTTACAAATGAAAAAGCCTTTTACAAAAATAAACATTGTCTCCTTCTGTTATTATTTCAGAGACCTGCAGAGCTGTGGGAAAACACACTACTTCAGAAACAGCAGTCTCTTCAAACAGGAGCATAAACAGAAGAACATACGCCTTGGAAACAAGGACTGGAAGCAGACACTGTATGTGTGAGTTGATTACCAGAAGTCTGGCAGGGGAAGACATACCTGTATCATACCAGCTGCAGCCATAAGTTCACTTTGTATAGTCATTTCGACTTCTGAGAATTATGTTTTGGTTTCCAGAATACAAAGAAGTTCATGATGTGGTTCATATAAAACCTCCTCCTCCAAAACCAATGATTTAGCCAACTTGAGCATACATCTAATTATAACTCTTCAAAACCCAGAATGAACCAAGAGAGCTGCACTTAACTAAATGTAGGAAACTACACAATGTGATTGAGTTCAAATTTGTCTTAGGTTTGTTCAAATTTTACTTCTACACATATATGAAGACCTGTTTAGCACAGGTGTTCTACAGAGATGGCAGCCAATACTAGGAAATGGATGTGGCAGAATAGTTGCAGCAAGTATTCCACACCACCACTCTTCTGCAAAATATATACATACACCTATATATATATATACGCACACAGTGTCAGCACACCCCTCCCTATCTATCTGTCCATCTATCTTGTGGTCAGTTGCCCAAGCGAAAAAACTGTAACGGAGGAAAGGAAGGATGTACCACAGAAGAGTCACCTGTTACAGTTACCCAAGACAAGAAAAAGTAATGTCACACAGAACATGTGCTTTTCTTATATTGCTCAAAAGAAGACCTTCTCCATAGATAGTTTGGGCAAATACACAGAACGTAGAAGGGAACATGAAGTATAGCATTGTTTCCCTTCCCACAAAACAGGGAAGTCTAGCAAGCAGAAGAATCCTAGTTTCATAACACACCACATCAGACCATCTGAAGGCACCAAATCAAACAATGTGAAATTGCTTTGCAGATCTACAACATTACAATGGCTTATTTTTCTCCACTTATCAACTCCAAATTTTTAAAAGGCAGATCTACTAAACAACTCAGAGGAAAAAAAAACCCACAAACAAAACCCCCTTGTTCCCTGAATGATTAAAGCCTTAACACAAGTTTACCTCATGTTCAGTGTTCACAATCAACAGAGGAAAAATCAGGATCTTCATATAGTTTGGGATTTTTCACTTCTTGAAGGAATAGGAAGGGCAAACTATCACTCTATAATCAGAAGCTTTTCTTTGTAATCATTAAAGGCACAAAAGGTAGAAGGCATAAGGGAGAATTAGCTGTTTTCTGTTTGTGAAGACTTAATCTACCACCCCAAAAATTCAGTGTTAAAAAATACCTAGTTTTAATTAATATGTTTGCTAATTATAAGCTAATTTTTTTTCTCCATGAATAATTTTTAGCATTTATTTCACCCCTCCTTTTCCAAGTTTATTTGAGGATCACTCCTAAGGATCAGAGACACTGATCACACTCATTACATCTGCAGTAACCTCAAAAATACGTGAGTGGTTTAAACTATATAGATACATGCATTTCAGTAAGTATCGTATTCACTCATTCATACGCATAAACTGTGGCAGTAACAGGCCAACAAATTCCACAATAACTACACAAAATGGGACAATGGAAAATGTTATCTATTGACCTGCCTATATCCTGAAGGTAGCAACGACTATGCAGACAGGGTTTGCCTCTAGATGTTCAATGGTCATGAAGCTTAATTATTCTGTGAAGTCTCAAATTTGTGAGAACAATTAGGTGTTTTCTGATGTAAGTATGGTAGTATATGTAAGTATGTTGTAACGATAGTGTTTAACCAGTAAGAGAGGGAGATAAGAGTTCACAAGTGAAAGTTGTTTATTTATTATTAGACGTTTATTCATTTAATGTAACCTATGTCACAGCTTCATCTTATCTTTTCTGCCTATCTATATAATTAGATAGATAGATATCAGTTTATATAGTCTATCCCATCTGAGATAGTGAATGACTTATAGCACTTTAAAGTTGCAGAATTGATAAGCAAGGCCAAACAGGTCAAGAGGTATTATGGCACTTGTTCAAGAAGGCCACAATATCCAATAAAGAAAATGTAAAAAAAAAAAAATTAAAAAAAAATCAACCCTTAAATTTTGAAATTGAAGGTTTTCTGCTTCCAGATCCATGGCTTCCCCCTCCCCAACTGATCAAACAGCAAAGAATCTACTACCAGTGTCTGATTTAATTACAGCTATCATCCCTCCACTGTCAGAAGCAGTGGCTACTTTACTGGCTTTTAGCAAGTGTCAACAAGTATAGAATACTGTGTAATTAATCAATATCCAGACAAAAATTATTGGAGAAGCTAGGGCAAAGCAAAGACTATAATTCTAACACATCTACACTGTAACAACTGTGGACTGTGTCTATGTAGTGGGTTGACCTTAACTGGCTGCCAGGTACCCACCAAGCCACTCTGTCACTTCTGGCTTCCTCCTCCCCCCAAGCGGCACAGGGGGACGGAGAATGGGGGTTGTGGTCAGTTCATTACACATTGTCTCTGCTGCTCCTTCCTCCTCACAGTATTCCACTCTTCCAATATGGAGTCACACCCACAGGAGACAGTCCTCCGCAAACTTCTCGATGTGGGTCCTTTTCACGGGGTGCACGGCTTCGGGAAACGACTGCTCCAGCATGGGTCCCTCACGGGGTCACAGGTCCTGCCCACAAACCTGCTTCAGTGCGGGCTCCTCTCCATGGGGCTGCAGGTCCTGCCAGGAGCGTGCTCTAACATGGGCTCTCCGCAGGTGTCACAGCCGCCTTCGAGCATCCACCTGTTCCAGCGTGGGGTTCACCATGGGCTGAGGTGGATACCTGCTCCACTATTAGCCTCCATGGGCTGCAGGGGGACAGCCTCACCATGGTCTTCACCACAGGCTGCAAGGGAACCTCG